AGGGAGGCAGTGAAGGACAGGAAGGCCTGGCGCAGTATGGTTCATGGGGTCATGAAGAGTCAGACATGACTTAATGACTGAACAACAACAACACAAGTTTAATATACTGTTGTTGTTATTGTTGTTGTTAACTTCCTAGTAGGAGAGTCTTCTCTGCCATTACCCCCACCCTATGGAATACTCTCCCCCTAGAGGTGAGGCAGGCCCTACCCTTCCAATTTTCCAGAAGACATGGCTTTGCCAACTTGTGTGGGGCAGGGAAAGATATAACCAAACCTGGGGCTGGCTGGTACCTTGAAGACGCTCTCTGAATTTCTTAACACCTAATGAACACCAACCTCTTGGAAGTATTATATAGGAAGTTTGTTATTGTAGCATATTTTAATTAATTAATTAATATTTGTCTATTTTAATTAATGCTTATTCTGTTTTTGTTGTAAACTGCCCAGAGTCACTCTGCAGTTAGATGGGTGGTGACAAATTTGAAAAATAAATAAATAAATAAATAACTTCCTATATTATCATGAAGAATGATGGGCCTCTACTTGTGCATAATCAAGTGATATTGCCAGGAAAAATATTTAGTATAAAAATGTTTTCAAATTCATACTTTGAAAATTAATATTAGAGAATAGAAACCCCTGTCAATCAAATTTTGCTTTTTGTTTTGGCTCACATTCAATATTATGAGACCAGAAATAAGGTAATCTGCAACGATGCTTAAGGAGAAAACAAGGAAATACTGTAGCATTTGAAAGGGAAAATGCACCTATGATGAGAGAGACAGAGAGACAGAGACAGAAAGAGAGAGACAGAGATAGAGAGAGAGAGAGTTATGAACCTCTACATCTTATCTAGAACTACTAACTCTGGGCTGTAAAAGTTCAGACAATCACCAGATGGTAGAAAAAGGTTAGTTTTTTCTGTATCTCTTTGGAACTATATAGTGCTTCTTCAGATTTTTGCAGCTCAGGTCTTATGTCATTAAGTAAGGACTTTTATTCAAGCAAAATATCCTAGTGAAAATGCTCAAATACTTTATGAATCAAGTATTTGTTTGCACACACCAGTCAGCATTCAGTATGAACAATTTGTTTTGAATAAACTTGATTTTTTTACAAAAATCTCATAGATCATTGTTAAATTATTTGATGAAGATTTTTTGAGTGAATATTTTATTTTATTGGAGTCAGTTCAACTTCTCCCCTCCCCT